AACCGACCAACACACGTGCACTAACCGACCAACACACGTGCACTAACATGCGACACTTGGCTGGATCACGAGCTGCTGCTAAGCTCAGTTGGTTTGTGCACATGACCATGAATGGCAGTCAGTGAACCAGGGGTTAATCCTCCAGAAAGCTGCTTACAGAGTGACTCATTAAAGTAAACAGAAAAAGATCGACTCTTTAAAATGTTGTTGTGTTTTCTTACACTTTCAGGACGACGTCAAGAAACCGAGCCTAGATTTAGAAAAAGAATCCGTTTGAAAAAACAGGCGCTACAGAGAGTCTTCAAATCATTCTTTGATGTAGATCAAAGGAGAAGTGATCATTCATTGACAGTAAACTGAACTGTATTGATTGGTTTTTAATTGAAGGTACTGTTTTATCCAGGCTAATTCTGCAGTACCTGCAGAGTGAACCTCAGGACCGTCCACAGTCTTGACATTCACCAACGTTTTGCAGGTCTGGTTCTCTTGTTCAGGTTGTTCCCCACTGTCACCGGTGTGTTCTCCAACCCACGGAGCCACTCCGTACATTTGAGCACCACGCGCTCGTCCACGCCCCCGTCTTCCTCCTCATATTCTACGTCGTCGTACTTGTGCTGCTCATTCAGGAGTGAGATTTTCAAAATGGACCTGATGTCTCCCTGCTCTGCCACCGCGTCACCCGTCACCTGGTCTCTGGGCCTCGGTGTGACGTGTCCCGGCAACGCTAGTTGATGTCTTCTAGAACCGTTGTCCTTCCTGCATCTAGATTCCGTGGAACTTCCAGAACCTTCTGCAGCTGAACTTTTGGCCTTTCTGGTCGCTGATCGTTGGCGCCTCTCACTGTCCCGGCGCTGCAGCAGCAGGACAGCTTCAGGTGTGAGAGTCAGGGTGAGGTGGGCTTCTTCTCTGTCATGTCTGGTCCCTGTCTTCACCTCTGGTCCGCTCCTCACACCGCTCTTACCTTTGGCTGCTGACGGACGACTCCTGGTTGGGGTCTTTTTCCCCAGCTGCTTCAGGTTAAAGGTCAGCCGCTCCTTCACAGAGCTGCCCCTGTCTTCCCTCACGTCTCTCATCTGGGCCAAGGAACAGCTGAGAGTTCTGTCTTTCCCCGTCAGTCCTGACACGGAGCATGTCATCGACACAGGTGGAGCGAACGGCATTTTAACACCACCGTTTCAGGTAGGACAGAAATCAGTCGTGCAAGTAAGAAGTAGAAAGAACAAAGAGGAGCAGGCGAGGAATTCTGGGGCAGCGTTCACTCACGCTGCTGCTGCTGCTGCTGCTGCTGCTGCTGCTGCTGCTACACAGAGAAGCCAGACTGAAGCTGCGACATCCTGACTGAAGCTGCAGCTGTGGAACCTCTAACCTGTGGAGGCGGCGGTGAAGGCTGCGGCTGAGGCAGACACGCTTTGTGATCTGTAGGTTCTAAGAACCTAAAGACGACTTTGGCTTCTTATCCTGTGGCATTATCTGTGAACACGTGTCAGCTCATCAGCCGGACTCTGACTTTCTCCAGTCTCTGCCTGACTCGTCTTTGTTTTTTTGGAAGCTGCCATTTCTTGATAAACAACGTTAAACAAATTCATTTCTCTTTTTCAAACATCTTACACAAAATAATGTTTATTTAAATTCATTTTTTATACAAAACAGATAAAACTTGAAAGGTAAAATGTTTGAGGATGAAGACAAAAAAGTGCCTTGTACACACAAGAACAAATGTGACCTTTTTTAAAATCATGATAGTTTGACAGTGAGACAGGTGTCCCCAGGCCTGTCCACTGTCCCCAGGCCTGTCCACTGTCTACTCTCTTTCACAGCATCTCCTCCTGTGCACGTGGAGAACCCGGTGACACAGTGGACACGAGTGATAGGCGTCCTTGAAATGGTCCACAAAAAATGGAATCAAGCAGCATCCGAACACCAACCTGTGAGAGAAAAACTTCACATGTCCCTGCGCTTGTGTGTGTGTGTGTGTGTGTTTGTGTGTCAGTGTGTGCACGCACTTGACCGAGTGTCAATGATTGCATAAGAAGATTTCAAAGTGTTCCTCCTCACCCGCACAACACAAACACAAGACACATGAGCCAGGCATGTGTCCCGACTTTGTAGTTGACCTGTGATGTCACCCGAGTCTGACAGGAGGGGCATCTGGTCAGGGCGGGCGACCGATACAGTTCTACCTCGTAGCTCACAAACTTTGTCCTGGGGGTCGTTTGAGGTTGAACGGACACTGAAGATCAGGCAGAGGAAAATAAGTCACTGAAAAGAAAGAAGTTTTACTGGGAAGAGGACATTCAAGATAAAAACTGAAAAATCTCTTTTCTTAAATGGTTTGTTTTTTTAAAAAAAACACCAAAAAAAATTGGAACCTCAGTAAAACTCATGCAGCTACAAAACCTTTTAGAGCTCTGTCAATAGACCGCAGCATTTCAACAATTAGACCTCGACTGAGGTTCAGGTTAAAGGTTAAAGCACCTGGTATGGACAAGTGATTCTGATATGAACCACCTTCTCCTGGGGAGAAGGAGACGGACGGAGGAGGTGGAGGAGGACTAAAAGGGGAGTGGATGTGGTAGATCCTCACATTCTGCCCAGTCTTACATTCATCTGGAGACAAAAAACAATCAATTATTAACCAATTATTTTAGGCTCCACACACACCAGGCAGGATGAGGGTGTTTTACCTGGCAGAAAGTAAGGTGGTGGTGTAGGAAGTGGCTCCTCAGCTTTGGATAATGACTCCATTTGTCAGGTTAGATCATGTCACACAGAGGAAACAGAGAGAGTGATGTTTGGAGCAGGCAGTAGTTAATCTGTGGGCCCACCAGGTGGAGCTAATTGAAAGCTTCTGTTGATTGGCTGAATATCTCACCAGCCAATCATGGCACAAGATGAAGTGTCTTTGTAAAATATGTAGTATATGTAGAATAAAGTGTTCGGGTTTTTCTTTTTACAAACTACGTCATTGACCATAAATGGCCTGCAGTACTTCAGTTGACCTCTTGAGGTCCGGCACCTCCAGTTAAGAACAGACTTTATAGTAGTCCATATAATCTGTAGAGGCTTTGACATTCAAAAAAGTAATTGTTATTATTAATAATAATACATTATTATTAAGCTTGTTATTGTTTTATGTACGTGTTGTGAATTGATAGAGAACATTTTGTAAAGCTTAAATATGTAAAGGTTAAAATTAACTTTAATATTTTATATTAAAAAGTACTTAACCCTGTCAAATATATATTAGTTATGCAGTAGATGGCGCTGTTACGTAACCTGTTAACCTAGTCTGGTTGTTCTTACTCGAACCCCTAGAGGCGCTCGTACACACATGCCTCAGTTTGTGTGAACGACGGTCCTCCACATTCATTTGAATGTAACAACTTAGCGGGATGATGCTAAGCTAGCTGTTAGCCAGTCAGCCACAGGTTTAACCGACGATTTAACCACCGGATGCTCCCGGCCGTGTCCTGCTGGCCGTCTTGACATTCCGTCAACATTCCTGGACGAATTCGTGTCGACTGACCAGAGTCCGCGAATTCGGGTCCATCACTCCTGACCTACAGCCACCACACAGTTAGCGTAACGTAGCTCACCGGGCAACAAGAGCTCAGTTTCGGAGAGAAGGTGAGTTAGCGGTGGGCTAGCTGAACGTGCGGGTAACGATGCTATCTGTTATCTGTAGTAAAGCACCGGGTAGTTATTTGTAGAAATGAAAGACTGGTAAAGAAGCGGGAGTCTCTCAGTGTTAGTCCATCAGGTCTTTGTGGGAGTTTATTTAACGACATTCTTCAGTTCCAGGCCCGTGAACCACCGGCGACTGTCGGCTAGCAATTTAATGTAACCTGCTAAGAACCGACAGAGGCTGCTGTGAAAGAATGGCCGAGTAACTCCCTGTACACACGGCCGTTATTACATCCAGTAAATCGAACCTGTTCTTCAAAATGTTACTATTGTGACTCCAGTTTTACAGACATTAACTTATAGCTAACGTCAGTGTTAGCAGATAGAACGTTCATTTACTAAGCTGTGATTGGCTGATGTAACAAAGTCAGGGAAAGGTTTGATGGAGTTCACACTGTAGTTTCTATTTTTGTGGAAATAAGAACAAACACGTCATATTCCAGTGTCATTAATGCTGCTTATAACGTTGTACTGTAGTAGAAGCAAAGTTCAGTTCAGCTGGGCCGTGTGTGTGTGTGTGTGTGTGTCGCTTCTTGGCTACACTGACATTGTGTGTGTGTGACTTCAGAGTTCCAGTGGAGAACCACACCCAGACAACATGTCCCTTCATCAGTTTCTGTTGGAGCCCATCACCTGCCACGCGTGGAACCACGACAGGACACGTAAGCCTCCTGACACACTGCTTCATTCCTTTCTGTGTTTCACTCTTTACATCACGGACCAGTTTGGTAACTCTCTGACTAAACACACACCGTGTCCTGACCGCGGTGTTATCTGTTATTAAGTGGCCATTATGAAGCTGGAGGAACCTTTAGGTGTAGATCAGGTGGTGCTCATGTGTCGTGTGTGTAAGCATTTACCTCCAGCCTGAACCAGAACTGGTTGGACTGGTTTGGAGCTGTGTTCAAACTCTGGACCTGCTGTTTTTCCATGTTGTTTTGCAGAAATTGCCATCAGTCCTAATAACCATGAAGTTCATATCTACAAAAAGAGTGGAAACCAGTGGGTGAAAACCCACGAGCTGAAGGAACACAATGGACACATAACAGGTATTTAACTGACATTAAACACCATGACCTGTTTCTTTTATCAGCACGTCCTGTGTTTCTATGACTACCAGTGGACAATGGACACAAATAGGTGTTAAAGTGTACAGTGACAAAAACATGGAGCAAAAAGCTGCTGCTCAAATTCCACAGTAACCCTCACAGATGTAACCGTAACAAATGTTCTGACCAGTTTTTTTGGTCTACTCTGGGAAAAGGTCTTTGAAAAGATGAAGTGGTCTCGTGACAAAAAAAAATATTGTTTTCTATTTTGCTCTTACAGGTCGCTGTAAACCCAGGGATCACACTATAAACCCATTCATTGATCACCAGGTAATACGTTTTCTTCTCATCTGTGCCGCAGGTATTGACTGGGCTCCTAAAAGTGATCGCATCGTGACATGCGGAGCCGACCGTAACGCCTACGTGTGGTCCCAGAAGGAGGGTGTATGGAAGCCCACCCTGGTCATCCTCAGGATCAACCGAGCTGCCACCTTTGTTAAATGGTCTCCGCTGGAGAATAAATTTGCAGTTGGCAGTGGAGCTCGACTCATCTCTGTCTGTTACTTTGAGTCTGAGAACGACTGGTGAGTCCTGGGAAACCAGCTCTGTGTGTAAAAATAAAAAAAACTTTATTTAATGAGACTAACGTGCTCTGTTCTCACGGGTTCTTTATGTTCTCTTAGTGAGTTGGTGTAGAACGTCCTTTAGTTTATTTAAAATGATTTGTGCTTCAGGTGGGTCAGTAAACACATCAAGAAGCCGGTCCGCTCCACCATCCTCAGTCTGGACTGGCATCCCAACAACGTCCTGCTGGCCGCTGGATCCTGTGACTTTAAATGCAGGTAAAAATGGGACGAGAGATGGAGATTATGACTGAAACGTCCTGACTCGTTGTTTTTTGTTTTTTTTTAACCCCGCCTCCCTCTATGACTGAAACGTCCTGACTCGTTGTTGTTTTTTTTTAAACCCCGCCTCCCTTGTGTGTCTGCAGGGTGTTCTCAGCCTACATTAAGGAGGTTGAAGAGAAACCAGGCCCCACGCCCTGGGGCAGCAAGATGCCATTTGGAGCCATCTTAGCAGAGTTTGGAGGAGCAGGTCAGTAAATCCATATCTGTCTGCAGTGGTGGAAAAAAAACAGTCCTGCAGTTGACAAAGATCCTGTTGAAACAAACCGACCGACCGTGTTATTTTATTTGTCTCCACTCTGTGTTTGGCAGGTGGAGGGGGTTGGGTCCACTCAGTTTCTTTCTCAGCCTCTGGTAACCGCCTGGCGTGGGTCAGCCACGACAGCACTGTCACCGTGGTGGACAGTTCAAAGACTGCCAGGTCGGTCATCCCCGTGCTGTGGTCTCCTGTTTCATTATCTATGGATTTATGGCTTTGGTCAATAATTCAGATCTGCCAAATTGTTGTGTTTCTCAGTTAATTTTGGAGACGGTACTTGTTTTATTGAATTTGGTTGGATTAAGTCATGACTTTTCAACAGATGCATTTGAACGTAGAGTTGAAACACAGTTAGAGCCAAACTGACAGATATTGATTTGTTGTAAAATGACTGTGTTCAACTTACAAGTGACTTCATGTTTCAGTGATAAAAGTGTGTGCAGATGTGGAATCATTTGTGTTGATTTACTGTATATTTCCTGATTTGCTCAGGTTGGGTGTTTTATAAAGAAGGTGTGTCTGTGTTTAGTCCCTCACAGCTGAAGACGGAGTTCCTTCCGCTCCTCAGTGTCGTCTTTGTTTCAGAGAACAGTCTAGTAGCTGCGGTAAGATCAACACAGTGTTTTAGTCTCTCTGTTGTGAGAAACTCACGTCAACACCAACTCTTGTTGTTTTGTTTGTTTTCTTTACACCAGGGCCACGACTGCTGCCCCATGCTTTTCCGTTGCGATGACGGTGGGACGTTGACGTTTGTCACGAAGCTCGACCTCCCCAAGCAGAGCATCCAGAGGAACATCTCTGCCATGGAGCGCTTCAGGAACATGGACAAGAGAGCCACCACTGAGGACCGCAACACTGCCCTGGACACACTCCACCAGAACAGCATCACGTAGGTTCAACATTCAGACGGATTCTTGTGTGAAGATGTGGTCATCACTGTGACTGTGACACTCCTGTCATCACACACAGCTGCTCAGTTAGGAAAACATTATAAAAACTGTATAAAATAATTTTTCCTTTTTCATGAAAACATCATTCAGAATCACATAAAAACAAGTGTGAAACACAGACGTCGACCTGCTCTTTGTTTTTCTGTTCCACAATTTTTATTTTGTTGTTGCTTCAAACCTAGGAATTTATCTCAGTCATTGTGATTAATTAGGATTATGATTAATCATGATTTATTATGGTTGAGATTAAATTTGGGAGCTCCAGTTTATTATTATTTAGGCTTCACCTCCGTCAGGGGCTTCACCTCCGTCAGGGGCTTCACCTCCATCACCACTCCAGAGCTCTGGTGTATTTCATTTATTGACTGTTGATTGATTGTTTGTCTTATATTTCCATTCTACAACTCTACTGTGAAGATAACAGTGTCGGGCGGGGGGGGGTTAAGGGTTAATAAATACGTCAATGATTTTCCCTTTTTCGCGGTGTGTCTTGGACCGTATCTCCTGTGATGTGGACCACAGTTGATCGTCTCGACAGATTCTTGACCAAACCCTCTATGTTCACAGCCAAGTGTCTATCTACGAGGGAGACAAAAGGGACTGTCGTAAGTTCTGCACCACAGGCATTGATGGAGCAATGGCCATCTGGGATTTTAAGGTAACACACACACACACAGGTTACACACACACACACACACACACTCTCCTCTGCCTCTAACTCTCATTTGTTTCTGTTCCACTACAGAGTCTAGAAGCTTCTATCCAGGGTCTCCGCATCATGTGAAGAAATGTTGCTTATGAATGAAGAGACGCTGCGGCCTCACTTCTCTCCCCTCTCCTCACCCCCACCCTCACCCCCACCCTCACCCCCCCTTCACCTCTGAGACACAGCCAGTAACAAATATAACTGACCACCTTAAACCAAGTGTCTGCTGAAGCACTGATCTGAGCAGCACACACTGGTCCGTGTGTGTGTGTGTGTGTGTGTGTGTAGCTAACACTCTCATTCACACTAAAATATTCAAACATATTTCATAACACACACACACACACACACACACACACACACTGAGCTAACGTGTGGCATCACTGTTATTATTTTTTTGTTTGTTTTTTTGCCTTGTTTTTAAATGAAGGTTAACCAGGTGTCAAAGTGGGAGGGGCCTCAGACACATTTAAAGAGTGACGTGAAATGTGTGTTTTTTATGTTCTCTAACCTCCTGTACCCAAAGTTAAACACTAAAAAGTGTGTTTGTCCAAACCTCAGACTGTGTGTCAGCTCTGAACAACATCAACATGATCACGTGACATCAACAACCAGACGGGTTATGGATAACCCGTCTGGTTATCGGTAACCTGCCTGGTTATCAACAACCTGCCTGGTTATCAACAACCTGCCTGGTTATCAACAACCAGACGGGTTATCAACTACAGTCTGGTTATCGGTAACCCGTCTGGTTATCAGTAACCCGTCTGGTTATCAACTACAGTCTGGTTTATGGTCGGCTCAGTCTGGATGTTGTGAGATCATGTTGCTGTTGGACGTAGAGACACGTGCAGGTCCTGGTGGTGGAGAGGGGGAACGCAGCCGTCGACACTCGTGGCGTACGCTAAAACCACAGTAGACGGAGGCTTTTGTTTTTGAAGTAACTGGTGATGAGGTAGAAATGAAATAAAGATGAAAACCATTTACAGTACTCTACTCCAGGGCCTGCTCTCGTCCTTTGTGTTCACTGGTGTCACGCTGTACAGGATTGTTTCATGTGTTTATCTGCTGCATTCACTGCCGTCTGTCAGGGTTTTCCCAAAGGAGGTGTTAAAGTGACCCTGGGGGTCAATGAAGAGGGTCAACTGTGGGAGGAGTCTCGTACACACAGTGGCCGGACATGCAGTCTGCCCTTCCATCCTGAAACCACCGGGGGCTTCAACCAAAATGAAGAGTGATGACCACAGCGATGCCCCTGTGACCCAGACTGAAGATAAAAAAAGACAAAAGGAAATGACTTAAACGCCACCGAGTTAAAGTATCAAAGACGAGGAAATATTTCAGAAACGTTTCATATTTTTTCTGATGTCTTTTAAACACCAACGTACCACCATACGTTCAGTAAGTAGAAAACAGGTCGGATCTCATTTCCTGAACAAATGTAAAGATGTAAAACCTGAATTCAAAAGAACATCAGTCCCAGGAGTTAATTATTTATTTATTTTGTCTTTTGTCCCAGGAGTTAATTATTTATTTATTTATTTTGTCTTTAACTGTCATTAAAATCACCATCTGTTCCTTTTTACCTCTTTTTTTTTCCTGTTTCTGACAGAACGAGGCTCTAAACTGGACATGTCTGAGGACGTCCCCGTTGTTCTGGTGAATTCTAACCCGGGTCAGTCCAGGAAGAGAAGAACCTTCACCTCAGACACCTCCCTCAGCAGTCGCCCCTCCTCCCCTCCTCCTGTTCCCCTTTCTTTATGCAGAAGTGAACACGTCCCTCCCCCTTTCTTCTCTGCTTTTCATGCTTCCTAGTTTTTTACTTCTGCTTCCCCCTCAGTTTTCTGCCTCCCCCTCCTCCCCCTCCTCCCTCGTTTGCCTTCAAACACTTTATTGTGCTGCTGCTCCACCGTCACAGACTGAACTTGGTTTCCCTCCTGGTTGTTTTGTAGGTTTGTTTCCTAAAGTCAATCATGAAGTATTTGTTCCACCATGAAGTGACGGCTGCGTTGACTTCCTGTTCTGTCTCCCCCTCCTCCACTTCCCCATCTGACCTCCCCTCCCTCTTATGACTCGGTGTCTCTCTTCCTGAGCTCACTCTGTCGTTGGCGTTCGCGTTGACTGGCCAGAGTCCGCGAGCTGAACAGCCTCACCCTTCACTTTCTCTTCTCTCCCTCTCCATCTCTGCAGCTTCGTACCCATTCTTCTCTGTGCTGCCTTCAGGGTGAGTAGCCTAGAAAATATTTAACAGTTGACTGAGTTTGTTTAGACACGTCTCTCTCTCTCACACACACACACACAAACACACACGTTGAAAGTGTAACGACTGCAACAGGAAACTCCAGGGGCTGAAACTTTAGTTCTCTCTGATCCTGACCTGAGTGGAGTTCACCACGGTCAGAGTTTGTTCCGTGTGTGATGTCACCGCTGACCTGCATCATTCCTCACTCGTCTGGAGCTCATTAACACAACCTGACTGGATCAAGTCACAGGGGTTTTTTTCCCCTTTCAGAAGAATCAGACACTGGTGGTTTTTATTCTTCGTCTTTGTTTCATCTCCACCAACAGGACTGAGGATTCCTTCACTCCCTGACTCAACCCTGTGTTCTGTTTCTCTAGATCTCACCGTTATCTAAACTTCCTGGTCTGTTGCTGACACCTGATTGGCCATGGCGTATCACAGCTTCCTGCTTGAACCAATTAGCTGCCATGCCTGGAACAAAGATCGCAGCCGTGAGTCTTTTCATCCGCTCCTTCTGATTGGTCACTCAGGGCCTTCGCTTTAGTCTCATCTCTCTCAACATCACGGAACATGTTACCTCAGCTTCTGTCTGCACCAAACAACAAGTGCTGTAATAGACGGAGGCTTGTGATTGGCTCCCAGGTGGGAGAAGGTATTTCCTGTTTCCTGTCTCGGGGCCTTGCACAGAGACTCAGTTCTCAGTGAGCCGCAGGAAACTTTGCCTTATTTGGCTTTTTTTGATTAGCGCTTTGGTTTCTGAGCAGAGAGGAAGTATCGCTGAGCAGAGAGGAAGTACGGCGTGGCTGTGGTGGAGTCAGAGGTTGACACAGCTGAGCATGTGCAGTGAACTTATCATAAAAGACAGGCAAAGAAAAAGTAAAAAACATGTTAGAGCGCCAACACGGGCCGAGGCCGACCGAACTGTGGACACAAACGTTTGATCAACGATAAATGGAGGAGGATTTTTGTTTTTCTTGGTCTATTTGTGTGTGAGTGTGTGAGAGATCTGCCCACAGGCTCTCACACACACACACACACACACACACACACAGACAGTGTTGTTGTCTGGTTCTCATGCGCTGGGTCAGCTGTTCTTTCTTCCACTCTGCTGACCTTCAACTTTGACTTTTAATCAGAGGTCAAGTCATTTCTCCTGCTCTCTACAGTCGGGACCTGTTTCCTGTCTACTTCCTGTTTACTTCCTGTCTACTTCCTGTGTCTCTGCACCTTCTGCTCCGGGTGTAACGTGTGCTTGAATTTGACGTTTGTTTCTCAGAGATCGCTCTCTGCCCCAACAACCACGACGTCCACATCTACAAGAAAGATGGGACCAAGTGGACCAAGATTCACGAGCTGAAAGAGCATAACGGCCAAGTGACGGGTGAGACGCACGGAGAACTTCAACGGTGCCTTCAAAACCAGAGCAGGATGAAAGTCTGACGTTTCTGACTCCCACAGGGATCGACTGGGCTCCAGACAGTAACCGCATCGTCACCTGTGGAGCGGACCGGAACGCCTACGTGTGGACCCTCAAAGAAGGGACCTGGAAGCCCACCCTGGTCATCCTCAGGATCAACCGAGCTGCTCGTTGTGTGAAGTGGTCGCCCAGAGAGAACAAGTTCGCCGTTGGCAGCGGCTCTCGCCTCATTTCGATTTGTTACTTCGAGCAGGAAAATGACTGGTGAGTTTCTGGGCTGAGGTTTGATCCCTGCAGGTCATGTGATCATTTTCACTAATGCTGTCCATTCACAGGTGGGTCTGTAAACACATCAAGAAGCCGATCCGCTCCACCATCCTCAGTCTGGACTGGCATCCCAACAACGTCCTGCTGGCCGCTGGATCCTGTGACTTTAAATGCAGGTAAAAGCTCGGCCTAAAAAACAAAACAAAACAGAAACGACAAGTTCAAACTGCTTTTAATGGTCAAAATATATTTACAACAATTAAATCTTCCCTGAAAAGAAACACAAACTGTTGATGTGCCACCTTCAAACAATCACTGTCAGACTTCCTGCTCTGCAGACGAGCAGTCGTTTTTCTTTCCTCTAGATCTGGGTCAATCTTCTTCTGCACCTGCCTTTCTTCTTTTCAATTTGCACCTTCCCCAAGGTGCTCTGGCGCCCCCCAGGGGAGACACACAAACGGATCAACTCTGGTTCTAATTCACTTTGATTTGTGTGGTTTTAAAGAGAGCGTGACCTCTAACCCCCAGGGTCTTCTCAGCCTACATCAAAGAGGTGGAGGAGAAACCGGGCCCCACTCCGTGGGGCAGCAAGATGCCTTTTGGGGAGATGTTGTTTGAGTCTGGAGGATCTGGAGCTGCTGCTCAGGCCTCAGCTGGAGCTGGAGCTGGAGGTGGAGCTGGAGGTGGAGGTTGGGTGCACAGTGTCTGCTTCTCACACTCAGGCAACCGCCTGGCCTGGACCTCGCACGACTCCACCGTGTGCGTGGCGGAGGGAGGGAAGCGCGGAACGTAAGAGCCCACGGAGCAGAATAGGTGCAGTTCATACCTGAGTGGTGTGTGACCTCTGACCTCTGCTCTGACCTCCACAGGGTGAACAGCCTGAGCTCAGAGACTCTTCCTCTTCTGTGTGTCACCTTCATCACTGAGAACAGCCTAGTGGCTGCTGTAAGTATGGGTTCATAAACCGTGAAGTCTTTTTATCTCAAATCTGACTGGACTGAAAAATAGTCACATATTCAAATATATATGTGTGTGTGTGTGTGTGTTGATATAACATCAGATTGACTACATACAGTCCTAGTGATTGTTCTATGCAATGTCAGAACATTTATGTTCCTTATTTTTTTAAAAGAACCAGAGCAGATGACGGAGCGTCCCATCCGTCCTGTCCCGTCCCGTCCTGTCCCGTCCGTCCCGTCCCGTCCGTCCCGTCCGTCCTGTCCCGTCCCGTCCGTCCCGTCCCGGTGATGTAAAATGTTTCTTATAAACCCTTCCTTCCAGGGCCACGACTGTTACCCCGTGCTGTTCGTCTACGACGGTGCCAAAGGCAGCTTGACCTTCGGTGGTAAACTGGACATTCCCAAACAGGCAGCCCAGAAAGGCATCAGTGCCAGGGAGCGCTTCCAGAACCTGGACCGCCGAGCCTCCGAGAACCAGAACGCAGAGCAGCACCTGAACTCTCTCCACAAGAACAGCATCAGGTCAGGAATGTGGGATAGTACTGTAGTACTGAAGGATAGTACTGTAGTACTGTAGGTTAATACTGTAGTACTGTAGGTTAATACTGTAGTACTGTAGGTTAATACTGTAGTACTGAAGGATAATACTGTAGTACTGACGGATAGTACTGTAGTACTGAAGGATAGTACTGTAGTACTGTAGGTTAATACTGTAGTACTGAAGGATAATACTGTAGTACTGAAGGATAGTACTGTAGTACTGAAGGATAGTACTGTAGTACTGTAGGTTAATACTGTAGTACTGAAGGATAGTACTGTAGTACTGAAGGATAGTACTGTAGTACTGACGGATAATACTGTAGTACTGAAGGATAGTACTGTAGTACTGACGGATAATACTGTAGTACTGAAGGATAGTACTGTAGTACTGTAGGTTAATACTGTAGTACTGCAGGTTAATACTGTAGTACTGAAGGATAGTACTGTAGTACTGACGGATAATACTGTAGTACTGAAGGATAGTACTGTAGTACTGTAGGTTAATACTGTAGTACTGAAGGATAGTACTGTAGTACTGAAGGATAGTACTGTAGTACTGAAGGATAGTACTGTAGTACTGAAGGATAATACTGTAGTACTGACGGATAGTACTGTAGTACTGAAGGATAATACTGTAGTACTGTAGGTTAATACTGTAGTACTGAAGGATAGTACTGTAGTACTGTAGGTTAATACTGTAGTACTGCAGGTTAATACTGTAGTACTGTAGGTTAATACTGTAGTACTGAAGGATAATACTGTAGTACTGTAGGTTAATACTGTAGTACTGCAGGTTAATACTGTAGTACTGAAGGATAATACTGTAGTACTGAAGGATAGTACTGTAGTACTGTAGGTTAATACTGTAGTACTGCAGGTCTTCGTGTCATACAGGAAATCCACTGAGATCAGAAACAGAGAAGAATCACTTAGATATTCCCGTGGATTTCTAATTCCCAGACTACTGTGTCTGTCCAAACAGGAAGTTAAGAAAGTAAATCTGTGCAGTTTTCATCTTTTTGACACAGAATTTCAATTTTCCAACTACGTTTCAGCCAAATCTCTGTTCTGGAAGGAGGACGAAACCAGTGCTCCAAGTTCTGCACCACTGGCATGGACGGAGGAATGAGCATCTGGGACGTGAAGGTAACACCACCCTGGGAGGGGGGTGGGAGGTGGGGGTCACGTCAGGTCACCGCCCTCGACTTTGGACCGTCTAAGAACCTTTCAACAGTTCTGTCACTTTCTGAAAAACAGATCTCTAAATACTAGTTCTTAAAAATACATCAATAAAAACACAGGTCGTAGAACTTTTTGCCGTATATTCTTGACGCTGACGTGACTTTTTTTTCTGTTTCTTGTTTTTCAGACTCTGGAATCTGCAATGAAGAACTTGAAGATAGTTTAGGTTTTAGTTCAAATGAAACAAAGCAACGTTGAAGCTTCAGGAAACATGAAGAAAAAGCTTGGCCTCATTCCTATCAGCTTTTATATATAAATATATTTCTATATCCAGGTTAAGGATCAGACTGCCGTCGTAGAGCGTGTGTTCGCCTTCTGAAGGGCTCGGGTTCTGTTTGTGAAACAGAACCAGAGCTGAGCACACGGATACTGACCACCGGTCTGCAAACGGTACCTGAGGAGCAGCAGTAGTAGCAGCGTAGTCACAGACTGATGAGTCTGAGCTGGAGTTAAAGCTTAAAGCTGGAATGTTCTATAATCAGAAGGAAATGTTGGAGTTGATGTTGAAGCTTATGCTGGTCATAACACGCAGTGAATAAACGTGGGCTCGTGTGGACAACTCTTCATCATCCAGTCTTCTTTCAGATCACGGTCCACGCTCCTCATCACCTGGTCACCTGGTCACCTGGTCGACCCAGAGAACCGTAGAAGGTTCTGGACATAAACAGGTCCACGAGTCCAAACACCGACTGTTCTGTTTTTATGGCTAGTGATCAGTAACAACAGCTAATGTACATTAGCAAAAAGGTTTCGTTAGCTCTAGTCTGTTTTGTTCTTTCTTTTGAATTTGGCCATTTTTTCCCCAAGAATAATGATAGGAAATCTTTGTTTTTTTTAACAAGGTTTTTGGTGGGAGAAATGAATCATCAAGAAAAGGTTGACGTTCACTGTTTAATCACTGTAACTTCTCAGTTTGAAGGTGGTGGAGAAACGTAACTGGAATTGATTTTAAGATATAACATAAAAAACGTGGACTGATCAGATTTCAGTTCATTGTTATTTATGCAAATGAGAATCTAATATATTAACGTTTAGTCAAAGAAATAACGACACAGTCAAAAAGAAAAAAGTCTCAGGGATGACATAGATCATTTTCTATATAAGCAACAGCCTTCTGTGCCACCTCGAGGCGAGAATTGGAACTGCATTCAAATTATAGAGCAGCTGAGAGAGAGAGAGAGAGAGAGAGAGAGAGCGAGCAGGAGAGATATACATACACACACAGAGAGAGAGAGAGAGAGAGAGCATCACTACTGTGCACCACAGAACAAGTGAACATCGACGCCCACACTTCTCCTTCTCCTTCTCCATCCATCATCCATCCATCCTTCCATTCTTCCATCCAGCCTGGATCCTCTGAGGCAGCAGCCGGGTCGGGATGCGTCCATCTCAGCTTGAGATGAGGATAAGACGGAAGTCGTGAAGAAGACGGTGCCACGGCCACGCTGTTTCCGTTCACTTCAAAGAAAACCTGCTGCCGACCTGAACCGGTCACAGCTCAGCTCCGAGAACCGAGGAGAACCGAGGAGAACCGAGCCCCAGAGCCTGTCTGCCCTCAGCTGTTGCTCATTTCCACTGTAAATGAATCTTGTAAGGTAAGTCCTGATGAGAGCAGTGTGTCAGTGGAGCTGGGGGAGGGTGGGGGTGAGGGTGAGGGTGAGGATGATGGGGTGACAGTAGAGTCTTCGTTTGCAGAGTTCAAATGATGATGTTGATATTTTAAAGTCATGTTTCCATCGTAGTTCTTCGTTGTCGGTGCGGTCATCTGAGGCTCGATTGAAAAGCGGTTCAAGGAAGAACAACAGCTGACACTCTCCTCCTCCTCCTCCTCCTCCTCATCATCAATCTGTCTCCTCGCCTCGATTGTGTGAATGTCTTTCTGAGACTCTGTTTTCCCCAAACAATCAGTGCTACATGTCGTTTTCCTGTTCGACGTGATTGGACGCAGCAGCCGAACTTTGTCGGTGAGCTTCGGTTTTTATAGGTTTCAAACTCACGACTGGAACAAAATGTCATTGTTTGTTTATTTTGTTGACAATTTAAGTCTCGATTAAATATGTAAACTTATTTTTAAAAAGAATACTCTCAAAGGTCCACAAACTTTTATTTTTAAACCCCAGCCTCCCCCAAAATATAACAAACAGAAAACAAATAGAATTAGCCTGTTAAAATATCCTTACTAATTCAATGCAACATGAACCAATGCAACATGAAGTGCGACCAAGAGCTAAAAAAAAATAAGAAAGGTTTTTACAGGAAGTCCTGTCCCGTACCTGTGTGTCCTCAGTCATGTCCATTTGTAATGTTCAGTTTACAGTTAATTTGTCCGATTGAACTGATCCTCAGATTTTGTGATTTTAATGATTGATATTTTCTGAAAAACAAGACAATTAACAGCTATTTTTAAAACAACGACTGACAAGACAATTAACAGCTATTTTTAAAACAATTACTTTTTTTATTTATTCTAACTTTAGATTTTTTGGCCAAATAACTGTAGAAATACTGTGAACCAACAAACCAATGACAGAGGTGTTAAATCTTCAACCTGTGGTCATTGGTCATTGATCTGGTTCAAGTGAAGACCTGTACGGACCGGGGGCCACGCGGTCTCTGTGGAAGTGAAGTTGTTGGCTTTTTTTTTTTTTTTTTTCCATTTCCTCCTAAGTACTTTCCATTATCGTAAAGACGGCGACTGCACCGACCATAAAACGATCTTTGACAGTAATTCTTGTTGACCATTAGGTGGACTGAGGTCGTGGTGGTGATTCAGTCAGACCCCCCTCCCCCCGTCTGCTTGATGAAGTCATTACTGACTAGGCCTCAGGGCCCGGCCCCCACAGACGGCCCCACAGACCCCCCCACAGACGCCTCCAGTCCAGCCCCACAGTTAAAGTTCAGACGGGGAAACGGCGTTTATGTGGGACAGGAAGTTGTGTTTCTGGGCTGGTGGGTCAGTGAGTATTAATAGATGAACCAGATGCTGGAGGAGACGGAGATGTGAGATGTTGGTTCACCCCTGGTTAACGTCACCTGGTTAACGTCACCTGGTTAACTTCACCTGGTTAACGTCACCTGGTTAACGTCACCTGGTTTATATATCTGGGTAAAAACGACCTTCATGTCACTGCATTTATCAGTCTCAGCCAATCACAGGGCGGCGACTAAACTGCTGAAACAAAGACAGAATTAAACTGGATGGACAAGCATCAGCAGACGCGGACACACCAGGTGACACGCTCCAGAGTTTGACAAACACAGGTTGAGACTAATTTTCATTTCTTCATTTGGAAACTTTTGTTCAAATCTGAATGTTTCTCCGTTTTCAACTGGCCTCGTGAAGTGAAGCCCACGTGTTTCCTGTACGAAGCTGAAGGTGATGATTACGATGTCAGAGTTCTGGCTTCAACAGCGACAGCCAATGACATCAGGAGGAGGTGGTACAGTCACTGATGCCCAGCTCCCTCTCTGGGCTGCAGCCCACGTGGGACACTCACATGTTGTCTACATGTTCTTAAAGCATCGTGTTTTCCTCTGAGCGGAGCTGCCTTCTGGTTCCTGCTCCCTGGGGTTTGTGTTTCCTCTGTGTTTTCTGTGTCACTGTGGAAATCTGCAGCTCTGCATCTTAATTTAATCATCGGCAAGAAAAGAAACGGCCGCACCGTCAGACAGGAGAGATGGAGAGACGTGGAGACAAAGAGGGAGAGAGAGAGAGGGGGAGGAAGATAAAAAAAAACAACAACCCAGGATTGTTCCGGTGCGGTATCCCTGCTCATAGGTTTCCATGACAACAGTGACATCACTGATGGAGTGCTTCCTCCTCAGCCTGTTCCCGTCTGTTTGGGTTCTTCCTGTTCGTGCAGGCGCAGGTGTACGTGCACATTTGAGGAGCTCGGGAAACAAATCACCGGGACAATCCTCGGCCCCCGTCGGGCCACGGTTACCCACTGTTGCCAGGCAACAGCATCCACGGCAACAGGTTGAAGCACCGTCTGCTGTTGCCAAGCAAAAGGACAGGGTGGGGTGAGATCTGGGTCTGATGTAAACAGCCGTGGTTCTGTTTGTTACAGGTTTATGAACAACCGTGTTCCTCCTCACAAGAGATACCAGCCCACAGAGTATGAGCATGCTGCCAACTGTGCTACGCATGCGGTGAATACACACACACACACACACACACACACACTCTCACAGACCACAGGAAGTAATGGTCCGTCCTTTCCTCATGTTTCGTCCTGCTCCCTCCTTCTCTGTCTCCCAGTTATGGATCATTCCCAGTCTGTTGGGCAGCTCCGTGCTGCACTTCCACTCCGAGGACCAATGGGAGCGGCTCTCAGCCTGGGTGTACGGAGCTGGACTCAGCTCGCTCTTCATCATCTCCACCCTCTTCCATACTGTGGCCTGGAAGAAGAGCCACTTAAGGTGCAGTCACACACACACACACACACACACACACACACACAGACAAACAGGTTTTTATTTGTATTTTCTTAATATCTTGTTGTTAGATTCACATATATTCTCATTTTTAATCACGTTTGAATGAAAATCAGACCCAGAATATAAGATGAGGCAGTGATGATGAGAAGCTCACTGTGATTGGCAGCTGAAGTGTCCAATAGGAGCAGTTTGTGTTTTGTGAGTCCGTTCTTCTGGACCACTGGTTGACCTTCATCGTTGTCGTCCTCCTCAGGTCGGTGGAGCACTGTTTCCACATGTGTGACAGGATGGTGATCTACTTCTTCATCGCCGCTTCCTACGCCCCCTGGTAAACCCCCCCCGGGGGGGGGGGGGGGGGAGGGGGGCGTGGCCGTATGTGTTTGTAAACATTCTTTTCTGTCGACGTGGACCAGGCTGAATCTGCGGGAGCTGGGTCCGTGGGCGTGTCACATGCGCTGGCTGGTGTGGGTCATGGCCTCCTTTGGAACCACCTACGTCTTCTTCTTCCACGAGAGGTTCGATCAAACCTTCATCAGTGTCTGTTGGAGTCGATGTTCTCTCCATGTTACTGTTGTCACTTTGATGCTTTTTAACTGTTTCTTTCATCGTTTATTTTTATCCAGGATGGAGAGTTTTGAGGAATTCTTGATTCATTTCTATTTCATCCAAATATAGATTTTTTTTTTTTACCGTGTACGGAGGCAGGACTCTGTAACTCTGACTGTCTGCTTGTATTGACAGGTATAAGATCATGGAGCTGATTTGCTACACAGTGATGGGGGTTTTTCCCGCCCTGGTCATCCTGTCCATGGTGAGTCCATTCTTCCAGCATCAAGTTTTGAACCAACATTTGTGTTTACAAATACACGACCGACTGTTTTAAACCGTGAGCGGGGACATAGGGGGCGCTGTTGTGATGTGCATGTTAGCAGATGTAGATGTGGGAGGAGCTCCATGATAAACCACGTACCTAGGATTACTCTGCAGTACTTCAGTGTTCCTTCATAACGCATCAGTCGAACGTCTGTGTTCATTAAAGTATCAACACTGTGTGTTTCTGCAGCCGGAGCAGTCGGGGCTGTGTGAACTGCTGGTGGGCGGAGCCTGTTACTGCCTGGGCATCGTCTTCTTCAAGAGCGATGGCATCGTCCCCTTCGCTCACGCCATCTGGCATCTTTTCGTGGCCGTAGGCGCCGCCGTGCATTACTACGCCATCTGGAGGTACCTCTACACCCAGACGCCCAATCAGGTCCAGACTTCCAGATGACATCAGTACTGAGGTGGTGTCCTGGGAGCTGCGATCGTATATCGTGGTCTAACTTATCGCAGATCAACGAGGATTCATTCAGTCGTTTCTCAGAGTCACATCGATATCTGTTTAACCTCTAGAGTTTCCCACAGCACATATTAGAAAAATCCCAGGATGCACCACCACACAATAGTGTCACAAAGAGTACATGTACTTATACTAGTTATACTAGATCAGTTCACTCACTCAGTATGAAACCTACTCCTGTTTGGTTGAACACGACACTGATGTAGTTGCAGGGATTGATGAAAGACACGCAGATCTTCTTCTAAAGCTCTGAGACAGTCTTAGATTTCAAAGCCATCTGCTGCCACCTAGTTGAAGTATTGAGTATTGAAGTGATCTACCTATTGCAGTTGTAAAGACAAATTAATTACAATAAATA